AAGAAATATTTGGAATCTACTTAAGTATCTGTTATCTCAAAGGCAGTCTTGACTCTTCTAAATTTATACTACCACAGAAGAAATGGGGGAAAACTCTTTATACACTGCATAGGCCATATTAGGGAGAGAACACAGCCCTCAAAAGACATTGATCCTTACCTGAATTTATCCATCAATTGGTGGTGTGAACTTGATCAAGTTATTTAACTTCTCCAAACCCTAGTTTGCTTATTTACCTTATTAACATAATACAATAGAAAACTTATCAGCTGGGCATAGTGGTGCATGCCTGTAATTTCAGCATTCTGGGAGTCTGGGGCAGAAAGATCACAAGTTCTAGTCTAGCCTGTGGAATGTAGTTACAAAGTGAAACTCTGTCTGTCCATCTGTCTATCTATCTTCTTTCTCTCTGAATATATATATATGGTTGAAAATGTTACTCAGTATGAAGGACCTAGGCTCCATACCTTTTACTGAAAAAAATGATCACTTTAGCCATTTGCTAGTATAGAGTAGTGTTAATTAAAGAAAGAGTGATAAAAAATACTTTGGATGTTTAAATTGTAAAAATTTGGTAAGTAAAAGACACATTGCCATTTTCCTTAAAATCTTCCCCGTCACTGTGAACACATTTATTCCCTAATTCTTGCCACCTTCTGAAGTTCTGGAAATTCTCTTCCATGAATGTCTTTAGAGGGTATGATCAAAATTATGGTGAATATTGCTGTTGAGTGCCATCTAGCAGAAAGGCAGGCTTGTTTTTACATGCTGGTGTGTCTTTATTCACCTTATTCACTGGATCTGGGACTGTATGGCTTCTGGTTCTTCCTCAAAGTCAAAATTACCATGAAAGGGAAACATTTTGTGCACATTCAGGACATTAAAGCAGCCATGATTGTACAACTAATAACACTCACAAAAGATTTCCAGAGCTGCTTCAGAAACTGGAAAGCACAATAGGAAATCATGTTGGGATAGATAGATAGATAAATAGATAGGTAGATAGGTGACACCCACAACCTATAGGACAAGAGGTTTGTTTTGGCTCATTGCTGTAGCCCATAGTTGGCTGGATCCAAGGGAAACACAGCACAAAAGAAGGGCATGGCAAAGGAAAGCTGCTCAATGTATGGCAGCCAGCAAGCATAGGGAAAGAAGGAACCAGGGATAAGATACCCCCTTCTAGGTCACATCCGCAGTGACCACTTCCAGCCAGGCCCCACCTTCTGACAGCACATTTAGCTGCTGAACTCATCAATGGGTGAATCTGCTGAGGAGTGTTGCATCCCACGACCAAAGCACCTTCCAAACACATGAGCTTTTGGGTAAACATTTTATATCTGAACCATAACAGACAGATACATAGATGATGATGATGATGATGACAGATAGATAGATAGATAGATAGATAGATAGATAGTAGATACACAATATGAGTGCATGGATGGCTAGATGGATGAATTCATGGAGGGACAGAAAGATGGGTGGGTAGATTGACAGACAGACAGATAGAAATAATTGGCTTTGTGATTGAAAGCCTCAGAACTAAGAAGTAAACTGCATAATTCTCAATCTGAGACTGAAGGCCAGAGAGCCCAAGGGGCCATTAGTCCAAGTCCTGAAGTCCCAAGGGAAGAGAGCCTGGGGCTGTGATGTGCAAGTGTAGGAGGAAGACAGTGTGTCTCAGCCCCAGGGGAGACAGTGATGGAGATGGAGATGGACATAGAGATGAGAGATGAGGGGCTGGGGATTTAGCTCAGCGGCAAAGTGCTTGCCTGGCAAGCACAAGGTCATGAGTTCAACTCCTGGTACCAGAAGAAAAACAGAAAAAACAAAACAAAACAGAGATGAGAGATGAGAGATGAGAGATATGAGAGATATGAGAGATATGAGAGATATGAGAGATATGAGAGATATGAGAGATATGAGAGAGAGAGAGAGAGAGACCATCACAACATCCAGAACTAAGCCTGTGCCGAGCACCCCTACATAGGATACTCTTCCTGTCTCCTGTCCCTCAGGACCACCCAGTGTTCTCTACCTAGGTCACACAGTCTCTGAGTCCTTCCTGTCTGTCATCCCTGCCCGCTGTCACACAGCGGCCCTGTTTTACTGCTTCCGTGCATCTGACACCAACCCCCATGCTGCATTCTTTCCAAATGCTACCCTAGCTCAGGCCGCTGTCATTTCTTTCCTGAATTACTGCAATTGTGCATTGCTTGCTCTCTCTCCCTAGAATCTTCCTGGGTAATTTAGTGTGGTGCCTAGCTCTCTTATTCTAAGTTATCCTTGCTTCTGCACATGGCCACTCCCTACCCCAGGTGGCCGTAAGGAGAACTATTGCAGGACCTCAAGGGACCTGTCCTCTCAGGTGGGCGGGAAGGACACTTGAATGGCTGCTTACAAACCATGAGAGCCTTGTGATGTTGGAGGGAAGAGGGACCATCAGTATGGGGACAGGGAGGGGAGCAGCCAACACTACTGTCTGCCCTTCACAAGTAATACATGTGATCTTTCTCAAATGCAGCTACAATTATATGTCACAGATTCCAAACTCCCCAATGGCTGCCTTTCAGATAAAGTCCTTGACATAAAGTAAACCCATGAATGGGCTCTCTTGGCCTACATTTATAGCTCCTTTGTGAATTCTCCAGCTGTGATAAAGTATTGCTAGTCTACACACAAATCATCCTTTCTCTTGCTTCTCCATGGGCCAACTTTACAACACCTGCTGTAAGCTGAGTGGTATTTTGAGTTGGTTAAAAAAGCTGAAGTTCTAATAAAGTTGCATGTTAAATATGTGCAGTTGCTTTCTGTGACTCCCTTGCCCAAGGAAGCACGGTTCTGATCCAACAGACATTGCACTGATTCATTACGTGCCCCCAGGGAGCAGTGAGCTATGCTGAGCATAGTGGGAGGGGCAGAGAGGATCGAGCTAAACTCACCCCTGTGCCCCAACACCTGCCTCTCACCTGTAGCCCCCATCATTCCAGTCCTAAGTTATCCCTGCCTCTGTATGTGGCCAGTTGCTACCCCGTCCTCACTGTCTCTCCCTGAACAGATGTCCCTCTCTGATTTAACTCGGGGATGTCTGGCCCGGTCTATTTCCTATAAGTGGTCTGAATTAGCAAGAAGTAGTTCTTGCTTATTAGGAACCCACATTCTCTATTTACTATGAAGATAAAACTAAAATTTTCAGCAAAATTTCAAAGCCTTCGAATTAGGCACCACCTTACTTGGTCAGCTGGCCAGATTCCTTTACTAGACTTTAAATATTCCACACTCATTCATTTACCTTAAGGTACTCCTGGACAGCTGGGCAGGGACATGCATACCTTTAATATCAGCACTCTGGGAGGTGGAGGCAGGAGGATCACAAGTTAGGGACCAGTCTGGGCAAATTAGCAACTTAGTGAGACTCTGTCTCAAAATAAAAAAAAAATAAAATAAAAAAGTGTGGGCAATGTAGCTTGGAATAAAGGCATTCATAGTACTATGAAAAAACTCATGTTGATTAATATTAAAGACATATATTGAAATCCTACTACATGCTGCGCCCAGCTGTAGGTGCTCAGTATAAAAAGATGAAAAAATTAGATGTGGCTTCTGCCCTTCTAGAATGGGTAAAATGAGGCAGCAACCCACACTCATTAATTCGAGAATAGTTAGACATTGTGAAGGGACCTAGGGATCCCTGAGAGGATGAGAGAAGCAAACAGTGTTTCAGCCATCAGCACAGTGGGGCTCATCAGCTCTTACTCTGGCTGAGATATTAACTGACCCCCCTGTAACCCCTCCCACTTCCCGGCCTGCCTGAGATCCAGATCCCAAAGCTACACATCCAGGACTCTCCCCAGACTCCTGCCAGCCCTGCCTGGGCCCTGTGACATTTATCCTGTGCTTTACCAAGCACATGTGACCCTTCCAGCCAGCAAAGCTGCACCCAGCCTAGGACACAGCTCGTTTGCTCTACGAGCCATGGGGTGACTTTCCCAGGGCAACTGGACATCCTTCAGGAAACCATGGCGCAGGCACTTCCGGGAGGCGAGATGGAGGTGCGTGGACCAAAAGGTGCCATTTCTGGTGTCCTCTCGCATGCTCCTGTGCTAGGGGAGGACAGTCCCTTCACAGGCAGCCGAGCCACAGGTGCGATGGCCGCACACTGACTGCACAGTTCACAGCGGCCTCTGCCGCACCCTCACCCATTGGTGGCTTCATGCCTCTTCCCTGGGTGTCACCTGTCCTCCTTCCTTCCTGCTCCATAATCTCAACCTCTCGCTAAAAAAGGAAAGCTGTGTTAACTCATTTCTAAGGATTCCTCACTGGTGTTTGAGCAGATCCCCAGATCCCTGAAAGTGTAGTAGCCTCCCTTCCAAGGGGGCGTATGCTGCCCCTTTGGGTGTCTTTTGCAAAACAGTGGGCAATTTTAAGTAAAAATTAATATTCTAAGCCCTCCTGAACAGTTGGGGGGGAGTCAGGGAGGGACTCGTATTTGGCGTAATATAGCTCACCTTTTGTATTTATTAATTCTAACTTTTATTTTAAAGAGATAGAAACTGCTCAAAAGGAATTCTAACTTTTAAACTTTTTTAGTTTTTGAATTTTTAAAACAGGGTCTCTCTATATAGTTCATGCTGGCTGGCCTCCAACTCACTATGCGGCTCAGGCTGGCCGTAAACTTGAAGCGATCCTCCTGCCACAGCCTTCTGAGTGCTGGGATTGTAGGGGTGCCCTGCCACACCGGCATTAATTCTAACTTTTAAGCAGTCCTACAATCATTATTCCCATTTTTACAGATATTGAAGCCTAAGACAGAATAGTTAAACAGGTTGGGTAAGTTCTGTGGTGTTTAGGCAAGTGGCTCCATAGAAGCTTGTACACAGCTAGCATGCTCTCATTTGAGCGGGCCTCAGAATCACCTGGCAAGCTCCAGAGTGTTTGTTTCATTCACTAGGTTGGGGGTGGAGTCTAAAATTTTGCATTTCTAACAAGCTCCCAGGTGCTGTTGACGGGAGTCCAGGGAACACACTTTGAGAACTGCTAGCATACAGTGGAGTGGGAGATCGTAGGAGAGATCCACAACACTGCTTTGGGTAAGTTAAAGGGTGACTTCATAGGGGAAGGGGCATTTGCTATGGTGGTAGGTGCTTGTGTGGGAGTCAACAGCACACGCCCTGTCTGTCACTCTCAGGTCATACAAGAAGGCCTGAGAGCCGGCTGCACGTAGATTTGCTGCTAGAGGTAGAGCCAGGGCGAGGTGAGGGAATTTCAGTGGGCACTGTCTTATTAACTGGGGGAGGGGACTGGTATGTTGGCCTCCACCAGGTGCAAAGCCTCCCTACAGACTGCAACCTTCATCCTTTGAGTACCAGGCTTTTAATCAGAAATGTAACGCAATTCTCTCTGCCTAATTGTCTTCTAATTGTTCATTCATTAGAGATAAAAAGGTATGAATCAAAAACTACACCAAGGAATGCTAGGATATAAAGAGCTCACTGTACAAATAATAATAACCAAAAGAGTATTAGAGGAGCTCTTGCTCCCTTGATACACGCTTTCCCTGCATAACCTCATTTAGTCCCCCAAACTCTTTGCAACAGACACTGCTGTTGCTGTTATCCCATTTTAGAGATGAAGAAACTGAGGTTGAGGGGGATGAGGACAAAGTGCTTGAAAGTAGCTGAGCAAACACTTAGGTTTAAGCGTAAAAGATCATTTTTGTGTCTTAAACCTGGTTGTTCACCATGACATCTTGGAATTCAAGGACCGTATCTCTACCTCTCTTTACCTCAGACTCACTGTCTGGAGTAGGGAGCTACCCCTGCTGCATTTGGTGACAGTAGCCCAAGCCCTCCTTGCAATTCTCTTCTTTGCAGGTGGCCTGACCTTCCCTACAAAGGCAAGAGGCGAGCTGGAGCTACCGCTTGTTATCACAGGATCTGCAGTCTTCACAGTGCAGGCATGTCATCCCAGGAGACCCGGGGGATCTATCACTGTCAAACCAGAAGGCTTTTTTTTTTTTTTTTTTTTTAAATTCTTGCAAACTCAGGGCTTTTTAGATCTTTAAGGCTGATCAGAGATAGAGCACTACAATAGCTGACTTAAATCTCAGCAAGTGGGGAGGCGAGGCGAAGCGAGGTACCACGCATAAAATAAAGTACACTGACTCTTTTTGGGAAGATAAAACATAACTCTTGGTAGGCGCTGCACAATGAAAGCCCTTGGAGAACAGAGGAGATCTTTGTCAGGAATTGTATCTCATTTAGCGCCATTGTTTCGCTGTGTTTCTGGCAGAATGGAAGTGATTCATCTTGCTTTTGTTTCGTGTTGCCTTTTATTTTTTCCCTGCACAGAAATTTCTCTTCCATTAGGAGGGAAGCACTTTTTCTTTTCCCCTCTCTGCACGAAGATGGCTTTCATCCTCAACATGTTCGTGCCCGGCTCTCAAGACCCAATTCAATGATTTTCTTCTTTTTTTTTTTTTTTTCATTTTGCAAGTGGTGATTTAGATAACACAGACAATACTGCTGTGAAACGAGTTTTAAAAAACATTTTAATGATCTCGCTGCTTGGAAGTGTCTCTGTATGTGTGTGTGCGTGCGTGCACGTGTGGGCACGCATCAGGCTACAAATATCATCGTCATTTATTCAGTCAGGAAGTCATATTTCTGAGCCCCTGCCAACTGTGTCATCGCACTGCTGAGGATGGGAAGCTATTGCAGGGAGTTTTCTGCCTGCACTGAGCCAGCAACCAAACAGGAGGTGACGTAAAAAGGTGCGAATTATGGTGCAAAAGTTAAAAAGCAAAAAAACGACCAGAGAAGAGAGGCCCCAGAGGTGACTTTGGGAGCTCTGTTCTCTGTATTTGGGGAAAGGAGAGGATTCATAATGCAAATTCATAATTCATTATGGATTTTATCAGAAGGCTTTCTGAAAAGGCAGAGATTGAAGCAGCTCCTCTCTCCCTGGCAACTCTGCACCACCCAGGAATCACTCACTCTTAACATTGTTGCACTATGGCTTCAGGCAGCCTTAGCAAAGTGTGCGGAACCCAGACCAGGGCAACTGAGTGATTTTCAAAAATCGTGTCCAGCGGAGCTTGATTCCAGTCTCTGGTCTCTTGACAAGGAAGGAGAATGGTTGGGATTTCGAGAGGGGCCCCAGGGCTGAGAGCCCAGTCCAGATTTGCCAGCAATGAGCAGCCAGGGCTTTCAGTTTTCAAAATCTCCTAGGGGTTTCTTTCCAGCCCTTGCCCCAACACCTTCGGTCAGTGCCTGGCTACCTGGCCCGGACCTGCACTGTCAGTGAGGCAAACGCTATGTCTCCATCACCAAGGTAAGTGGCCCTGGGAAGACGCATCGTTCTGGATGGAGCACAGGAATGCCCAGCGCCCTCTGACGGAGAGGTGTAGGGCTGCGATCAGAGGTGACCAACCAGCTGGTCCGGCTCACTTTGCCCAGAGTGGGGAGGGAGCCAGGAATTCCAGCAGCTGTGCCCCATCTCCACAGCCCTGTCACTTCTTAAATAGGCTTCCAGGGCGCCACAACCACTGGTCTTCCTTCTGCCTCTCCTCGGCATGTGCCACCTCGCTGCTGCCTGTCACGTTTGCCAGGAGGAAAGAGTGAGCCCTCCGGGGTCAGCCTTTGCCAGTGAGGGATCTCATGCACTTCTAGGTCTTTGAATTATATGGACACATGCACACACACAAACACACACACGACACACACATATGTTTTTCAAAATCATAACTATATGTGGATGCGCACCACGGACATCCATACACGTATCACAGTCAGTGTACATGTATACCTATATACACATGTATTTATTATTCAAGATCATGCATGCACACACGTGGTGTTCAAAGTCATGCGTGCATATGTAATATACAGTGACACCTTGGTGCATGAGCTTAATTTGTTCCACAGTTCTGGAAAAGATGGCCGTGTTCGATGCAGAGTTCTCAAACAAAAACAAAAATTTTGTCAGATGCTTCTGTTTGTAAACCTAACCCTTCACAAACAAAAGCATTCCTGAACTGAGGTACCACCATAGACACACACAATATTCGTGCATGTGCAGGAGTGGCACATGACACAAATATTCAAAATCATCTGTGTGTGTGTGTATATATATGTATATATGTAAATCTGCCTGTGCAAATTCTTCATAAGGATGCCGAGTAAAATTCTCAAACTTAACATAGCCCAGGAAGAACTATTGCATTTCCCCTTTCCTTAAATGGCACCACCATCATCTCTTCCGTTGCTCAGGACTCATTTTAAAATTTCTTTCTTTCCACTGTGACATTTAGCCCATTAGGAAGCCTTCTCAGCTTGAATTCACCCATCCACGTACGTCTCCCACCTTCCGCGACCTCTCACTGCTGTGATCCTGAGCCAAAGAAACTGCTGAGGGGGCTGGAGGCCGCCATCGCTCTGTTCCAGTCCGCACTCTGCGTGGCAGAAGGAGATTTCTGAAGCTGCAAATGACATCGCATCATTTCCCTGGCTAAATCTTCCAGCGACGTCCCATTTCCCTAGGGAGACACAAACTCCGCTGTGGTCCCCAGGGGCCCTGGCCCTCATCTCTGCCTTCCCATTCACCTCTCTCAGTCTCTACAAGTGGGTACACATCTGGGTACCATCTTTCTGCTTCTTTAAATGCCAAGACCTTTTCCTTCTTAGAGTCCATCTCTTGCCCGGAGGCCTTTCTCCCGATCTTGCAGAGCTGGCTTATTTTCATCTTTCAGAGCTCGACTCTTCCACTTGTGAGACATCTTCCTGACCCCAGCGGTAAGCAGCCCCCCTCCAGTTTGTCTAGTTACTCTTCTTGGTCACACTGTGTGTGCATGAAATAATCTTTCTCACTTCTTGCACTTACCTGTTTCTTTCCATGTTTTTCTCCTAAGGGTGTCACAATGTTTGCTGCTATGTGTATGTCTTTGGTCCAGGCTGAATTAACTTTGGTATGTGGTGTGAGGTAAGGGCTCAACACCATTCTTTTGCTGTGGACATCCAGTTTCCCCAGAACCCTTGCTAAAAAGAAAAAAAAGAGTTATTTCCCTGCTGAGTGGTATATTTGTCCATTTTTTACTTGTATAACAAAATTCCAAGCCTGGGTACTGTACAAAGGCCAGAGGTTTATGTAGTTCACAGTTTTGGGCACCTGAAGTCCAAACAGCAGGACGCTGGCTCTGACAAAGGTCCTCTTGGTGTCGTCACACCATGACAGATGGCATCATGGCTGGAACATGTGGGAGTGGAAGAGATCCTGTGGTCAGGCAGGAAACCAGACCATTAGGGAGGAGACGGTCTTGTTCTTTTATAACAACTGTCTCTTATGAACTAATCAGGTCTCCTGAGGATGACCTTAATCTTTCCTGAGGGCAGCCTCTCCCCCAGTGACCACGGACCAAACCCCCGCTTAGAGGGTTCCTCTTCTCCTCAACACTGAGGGACAAACCACGTCCACACTATAGCAGATCCCCTTGGCACCCTGTTGAAAAGCATTTGATCATATACACAGGAACATATTTCTGGGTTCTGCTTCTATTCCATTGGCCCGCTGGTGTGTATGTGTTGGGGGGTGGTGTAGTCCTGGGGGTTGAACTCCGTCCCTTTACACCAGCTACATCCTCAATTCTTTCACAGTTTTTATTTTGAGACAGGGTCTTGCTAAGTTGCTAAGTGGTCCAGGCTGGGCTCAAACTTACATTTTTTCTGCCGAAGCCTCTCAGATGGCTGGTGTGCACCACCACACCTGGCTATACATCTTTATTAATGTTCTATCCTGTTTTCACTACTAGCAACTAAGATCTGTGAGGTCAGGTGCTCTGCCTGACTCTCCATAGCCCAGAACCTGGCCCAGTGTTGGCTCAATGGATTCCTAGTGGCAGAGGAGCTGGGCTGGATTCTGGTCCTTCCTTCTATGGTCCCAGGGGATTTCCCTGTGGGGGCTCTGGTCAGCCTATGGTGGGCCTACTGGCTCCCTCTGGGAGTCTGACAGGGTCCTATCCCTTCAGTGTAAGGCCCAGGTCCAGCCCCTCTTCCTCCATCCCTGCTGGATTAGCCTGACCTTCCTCTGCCCATCTGGGTTCTATTTATAACTGGTGCCTTTGGTCCAGCCTCTTCTGTCTGCTGCTCCCCTCTTCCGGGCATCATTTTAGCCTAGCGGGTCCCAGGACACACTACATGTGTCCTGTGCTCCCTGGAGCTGTGGTAGATGCTCAGGAACCCTTACCCACCTTCTGGGATCTCCCTGCTTCCCTTGAACTTGGCATCTCAGGTGCACACGGGGACAAAGGCGAATTCAGCCGGGCTTTGTGCCAGCCTCGCCCAAGGCTCATCCAAAGGCCTTCCTGTGTTTTGTTTTTCTTCCAGTCTCATCAATAAGTCCTCAGTAACAGCAGGGAGGGGATGCAGAGGGCAGAGACGCAGCATTACCTCATCACATTACCTAGCCTGATGCATTTTCAAGGCCAGCAAACTCAATTAGCTCGCTGGTAATAGCTGTACCGGCAGTGGGGCGCTTCTGCAGAGTTCATCGCTCTGCGGAAGGACACAGAAAACAAATGGTTCTGCTGCTCCAGTGCAGAGCCACCAGCAAAGCAGCCCAGAGCTGCAGCTCGATACCAAGTAGGCTTCTCTTTGACTCTCTTCACAGTGCTACTTTTGATATATTTAAATCTTGAGAAACTTAATGCTGCTTGTGAGCAGCGTGCGAGTTATTTGTTCCGCCATCTTTTCTTGAGTACCTTTGAGTATTTTCTTCTGCCTTAACCAAATCTTACCAGCGTTGAGACCTAAAGAGGTCGGGAAGGTGACATGTGGAGAGTTCTACGTGACCTAGTTCAGTCGCTCACTCTTTCTCTTCTTGGTTTTTTTCTTTACTCATTTTCTCCCTCCCTCCCTTCTTCCTTCCTTCTTTTCTTTCTCTAGTAGGGACTGAACCCAGGGCTTTCACGTTGAGATACATCTCCAGCCCCTTCTTTAAATTTTTAAATTTTAAGACAGAGTCTCACTAGGCTGCCAAGTTGCCCAGGCTGGGCTCCAACTCGTGTCCCTCCTGCCTCGGCCTCCCAGAGTTCTGGGATTACGAAGCTGTGCCACTGTGCCCAGCTAAGTCACTGTTTCTATATTTATCACTCTTGGAGAGATCAAACGTTCAGTCAAACTAACATTTTGGGTTAGAGAAGGCAAACAATTCTCATTCAAAGTAAATGGGAGAGACAGTCAGAATCACTGAGCAGTCTGAATAACATACTTTTATAATTGCAGAATCAAGAAAGCACGGTATGCTTTAGTGGAGAAGCTTTTAGAATTTAACCTGCCCAATCTTATAATTTTATAGATGAGAACAACAGAAGCCATAGGAGGTTATCGTATATCTTTTAGATCATGCTGTCAATTAGCAGACCTGTGGAACTCTCAAACATGAGCCCCAATCCACTTATGAAAAGGGCGGGTTGGATTGTGGAGAAGAATATACTTTATCATCCAGGCATAGGCTGAATTTCAAAGCACATAGTAGGTCTCTATGTGCCAGCAACTTTCATGTTG